CTTGAGACATTGTTTGCAGACTACAAAGATTCCCGGTCAAGGAAGAAATACTGCGCAAAATGTGGTCCCAGGGGCCTGTGGATTTCGATGGAGCGACAGTGCGGATCCTGCCCGACCTCTCCAGGGCCACCTTGCAGCGGAGAATGATCCTAAGGCCGCTACTGACACGACTGCGGGATGCAGGGGTGGTATACCGGTGGGGATTCCCCTTCCACCTCATTATATGGAGGAATGCTACCTTCTTCGCCCTGAGGCAACTGGCGGATATACGCGCAATGTTTGAGTTCCTGGAAATGGAGCCCTTCCCGATTCCGAACTGGCTACAGCATCTACCTGGGGGCTCTGCTAGACAATGAATTCGCCCGGATCGCCTCGGCCGGCCTCAAGGGCCACAGCAGCGACAATGCCGACGGAGGTCCTCCTCCCGGGGGAACACCAGCGAACCCTAACGGGCCCCAGGATACAGCCACGACGACAGGTGAATTCACACATGCCATTTGACAAGCGGGACCAGTTTGGTGTTTACCCCTGCCGGGAGGGTTATGGGCTACCAAGAAGGACAGCATAGGACACAGGGATTTTGCCTGAATAACTGCAGGGAACTGTTTTGACAGCGGAGAACACAAGGGTCCTCCTGTCACTGGAATGCTGCCTACCCCCTGGCGGTGTGGAGCGCTCACTTACTGCATGGGTGAACTGGTAGTCTGCCGAGCATCTGGCTGACTAATATTAAGAGTTTTGGAGCTGGTTTGAAACATATGCCTGGTTTGGGAGGGCCTCGGGTCCCTCGTCCCCTCCGTGGGCGCCAATCGGGGTCCAAAGACTGCTGCCTTGAGTACCAAGGAATTCTAGGCAGCGTGCCGGGAGTGGTGCTCGAGAGGGGCGGGAGGATTCCTCCCTATTGATATGTTCTGGTTATATGCTCAATAGTTTGTTTAACTATGACCTCTTTCACTCACCAACCACGATCATATGTCAGAGGTCTAAATTGTAGGTGCTTATCACTCCGAGATATTGCTAAGAGTGGTCTTTCCACTCACTAATGTCCTGGTGCGGAGTGGGGGCGTTGAGTGGGACCCCGCTTTGATCAGCCACACTCCCACATAGGTCATCCCGCCTAGGGGATCTGGTCCTTTGGGCGGGTGAATTCAGGGGTAGTTACCCCATTAGATTGTTGCTTGTTAAATTGTCTACAGTATTGTCTTCCCCTACCTCCTTTTGTCCCCGTGTCGGCCACCGACCCTCTAGCATTCGGATGACTGGCCCAACCTCTCGCTTAACAACTCTCCCCTAAACCTTGCTCTCCTCCACTCCCTCG